GTATTCCTTTGTGAGGGCTGTGGGATTTGGATGGTGGGGGTAGTATTCGGGCGGCGTCGGCGGGTGGTCGGATGTGTTCGGTGGGCGCTAGGGCACACCAACGTCTTCGATCGCATGACGTGCGCCCGGCGGCAGTGGCGTCGCGTCAGTAGTGCTGGCCGGCGCAGCGGTCATGATAACGTCGTCCGCGCCTCCATCGCCCTCAACATCCGCCGCCGTTGCAGTGTTACCCGTGTACACATCGCCGCCGCCCGGACTAGTGCTGCGCGCCGGTGGCAAGCCGCCCCTGTTCGTGCATCACCACCATCACCTGCACCAGCCGCCGCATCCGCTCGCCCTTTCGCCGGCGGCATTTGTACGGTGCTTCGTGAGTGCGCGTATCTCGGGCGTCGGCGACGACCTCGGTCTGGTGCTACCCGCCGCTGGTGGTCTCTTTCACGCTCCGCTGCGACGTGCCGGCGCGCCCGCCGCCTGCTGGGGCGGCGGCCGACGCGCGTATGTCGGCTGTCTTCTGCCGACTGCCGATTTCGTCCTGCGACATCATCATCAGCCACATCACCTGCCCACGCACCAACGACAACGCGGGTACTTTCGCTCCTTTCAGCCTACTATGGAAACAAGGTAACACCTTGGTTGTTGGTTGTGCTTCGCCCCGGTCGCACGCACAATGCGCCTCGTTTCCTCGTTTTGTGCCTTTTTCCGCCGCTCGCTGCTGGCCTCTTTTGTCCGTGTGCGCTGTGGCTTCGCGCGCCCGCTTGGTAACTATTTTTTCGCCTCCCGGTCGGTTTCTCATGTCTCTCGGGTTACGCGTTCGAATTCGAGTTTCCTGTGACTAACTGCATGCACTTTGTGTGCTCGTGACGTCAGCAGGTATTTCCGGTGTATGGAATTGTGCGGTCGCTCGACCACATTCGGTGCCTTTTTTTTTTACCCATCGTCCCGAAATCGTCCTTGGAGGAGAACCATCCGAAAATACAACTTAAACTTTCTTTTACTCAAAATCATCACTATAGCAACATACTGAGTTTTGTATGTACATCAAAACATAACAAATCAGTTCAATGTCATTTTCATTTTCGGCGCGCACACGAAAATTTTCAGTAAAAACGTGATTTCAGCATTTCAATTCATCTACGAATTCAAACACGCGTGGTTTTTGCGCGCAAAAATGGTCCGCGCGCAGCGAGATTTACGATTCTCAATGAAACTGCGAAAGCTCTATGGAATGAGGTAATAACAATCGTCTTAATGAGCAAATCGCTAAGTACGCGAACGCGAGTTACGCCTGCAAGGTTGCGCCGTCCTTATTTATTTATTGCCATTGCGCCATTCGCAGCCACACTGCTGTTATCGCGGCTGCACAAATCGTTAAATAATTGACGCCCGGCGTGTTTTGCCAAAAATCGCGGGATTTTTTCCAACGCGCTGTGTGACTAAACTCGCGTGGATTATTTAATTCACCGAAGTTTGTCTTACTCATGAATCTCGAATGTAAATGTATTGTAATCTGGGTACTTGAAATGTTAAATTTGAATGTTTTTGCATATCAAACAGCAACTTACTCATCCGATTCGTTTGTTTTCAGGTGAGACACGACGTTTTTTTTTTCTTCTGCCATTCTTTCAACGGTTGGGTACGCTCTGTGTGTGTAAGTATGCAGCCGGCGCGCGAGTTCAATGACAGTAAATCGCCGAAAAAGAGTTAAAGGTCTTTAAATACGCCTAAATTTACATCTAAGCAGCCAGCAGCAGCGATGCACTTGCGCTCGTCTGCGCACTGAGTGCACTTGTGCAGGAATAAAACGAGAGTGCGCGTCGCCGATTTCGACTATTTATAGAACTAATTCCAGCCTTCCAGCGTTGAAAACGCGCGTTTCCAACATCATTTTCCGTTCGATTTGTGGTGCGTGCGAGAGCGGATTATGAACGCGCGTCGATTTCGCAGCGGTCTTTAATTGCATCCCTTCCTCCCACATTTTTTGCGTTCAAAGCCGACCAGCGCAGATTGGAGCAGCCCGAAGAAGACAAAAAGCAGCCGCGATTTTCTCATTGTTGTAATGCATGCATCTCCTCCAACCAGTGTCAAAAACCGCCGGTGCGAAATCGACTCTCGCGCTTCGGGCACGCTCTCACAGCGAGCGTCGTTTCTCGTCCAAGGTCGTGCGCATGTCGACACGTAAATAACATTCGTACATGAAAAGAAGTCGCGCGTTTTTAACGTCTGCGCTCGCGGCCAGGTTGCGCGCTCGCCGCTTTCGTCATTTTTAATCGCCGCGGACGCGGTGCGTGTCGCGTATTTATATCCCAGTCGCGCGCTGTGCGGTGCATCTTTGCGCTCCTTTGCTGCCGCCCGATATCATGGTTGTTGTTTTTTCCACTTCTTCGCCGCGGGTTTATTTATGTGGATGATATCCACGAGGAGCGTTGTTGTTTCTGCTCGTGAGGCATCCCGGCATGCTCTATTTTTAAAATTATTTTGACCTTTTTGATGAAATTGAGACATATCTATTCTTCCAAGGGCAAGAGCGTTTTGTAACTGGAAATAACGGTCATTTTCTGGTCACTTAGAATGTTAAATAGAAATCTATTCAGCTTCTCTACTACACCGAAGTTTTTGAAACTAGTATTTATTCCATTTCTCATTGTCGAATTTTATTCCGTAGTTGAAAGTCTCTTTCAACTATCTCGACCGTCAGCGCATCTTTTACTCTTTGCCCTTGCCCTCGTCTCGTCGACTTTGTATCTTCGTGTCGGTTTGATTTTTTTCGCACCTAGATCGAGAGCTGTACCCGGCTAGACTCGCGGTGTGCCTTCGGCTGGGCGTCTAGCGCGCACCAAGAGGAAAATTATACCACAAACCGGTTTCGACGTTTTCCCCACATTTCACCTGGGCGAACGCGCCGCGTCAGCTGTGTTAAGTTATTGTTGGGTCTTTTGTTTCGTGCGATGCACCACCAGCAGCCGCTGCAAGGCGCTCGAACCGAAACGTTGTTTGATCATTTTTCGGGCGAGAACGCTTCAAAATGCACGCCATGTGATGTTTAGATATTGATCTCGCAATGGAAACCCTTTTTTTTTTTCGTCGTTTTTGTCGACTACCAAATATTTCCCAGCGGAGAGATTGTTTCTAAACAAAATTTTGTTTACATTTCGTGATTGTAAAGGAATTTTTATTGTTATTAGTCATGAAACTACCGAAAGAAAACTGTTTAATTGTTTGCCGATTAAACTCGGGTTATTTTATTGCCGATTTCTGCATGTTGCTCGTTGGAATATTTACCAAACACAGTTCTGAGTCAGAAACACGGCTTATCGGGCGCCATTATGAACTTAACGGTCGATAAAGTACGCTCAATATCTTACTTAGAAGCTTATCATTGTTACAACAAACATCAACGGGGTGTATCTTGACAATTATCGATTCACTCGTAGATCTAATCGTTTCGTTCCTGGTAGATTATCGTAATTGTTGTTGCTTCGATTCTAATTCTACACGAATGTTTAGAAAACGGCATGTTTATCGAAGTGTTTACGCGTGTTGTGTGATGATGATGTGCATCTGCGACACGACGCGAATTCAGCACACACGAGTGAAAATAAAAAAAAGTGTGTGTCTTTTTTCGCAGCGGCAGGCATTATCTTTCGATGCTAAAATGGGCCAAGGCGCTTTTCTGCGTCGCGTCGTCGTCGACGAGTGTGAGCGGTGAATTTTAAGCCTAAGGTTAAATTTTGAAATTTGTGTGAGCGCGTCGTGCGCTTGCATCACTGCAATGTAATGTTTGGTTTTCGCAAGTTGGCGGACGAAGGAGAGAAAATCGTTGTTGGCGGTTTCCTCAGAGCGGAGAGAACAATGAATTTCTCCGCGTGTGCGCGCGCCCGAGCGAAATCCTTGCCGAAATTCACCTTAACACCGTTTTGCAATTATGTTACACATTTGGCTAATTATATTTTTGCGAAAAACTTGTTATTAACCAATATGTGTGTGTGTGTGTGTGTGTATGCGCGGCGTGGAATAATAACACTGATTGTTGTTCCTAATTTGAGTGAAACTCGTCCACCATCAGTGTTAGTGTTGCGGATGCCCGACGCGCATCATCAATTATTCGAAGCGACGCCGGGCGACTTTAACAAACCCGGCGTCCGTGGGGTTGGACGCGCAGTTCCCCTTTAAAGCGAGTGCATTTTCTTGCTTTTGTTGGCGCGCCGAGTTTCGAGTTTGAGGCGAAGTTTGAATTCCACGCGCGCATGCATCACGGCCGATGGGGGCACATGACGTGCTGCCGCGCTGCCACCCCTCGACTCTACACCCTGTTTCACTGTGTGTGTGTGAGAGTATTGCGCACGGGTTCAACCGTCCTGTGTGCGCGTGTGTTATTGATCGCGCGCGGCCAACCGTCGGCGGCGAACGCGCTTCGCGAATACACCACCACAGCAACAACCCTATATCGAAATCGCATGCAACTCGTGGTGCGGCGAAATGCAAAAATTGTGCTCCCGCATGCACACACACACGCTGTTTGCGTCGTTCTTGGCCGCTTTCATGACGTCATAATCGATAACTAGCGAGAAAACAAACGCACGTCTCGATGATGGGAACCGTGCGCCGCGCGTTGTGTACAATGACGAAACAAACCGAAACTCGCGGCTGTTGTTCGTCGGTTTGTGTAACAATGCAATACACCGAGTGTGCACGGAAATAATGTGATTTGAAAACTAATGCGCGCGGTCAATCAAAGTTTTGCCACGCTCGGCGTGACTAACGCCTTGATTTCCACGAATTTTCATCTATCACGTTGTTTCCCAACGGAAAGAAAAGCGAACGCGCGTTACGAGCAATGTAAAAAAGTAAAAACAAAAAGGGTAAAAGTAAAAACTGGCGATTCGCCGAGCGCGTTCGCGCCGACTCGGGTTGGGTTCGCGCGAGGCCGACGATGTGGATGGTAGGGATGACGGGCGCGCACCGTGCGTTCTGCATTTGCCGCCGGCAGTTCGTCAGCGACCGCAGCGCGCGTCGGAGCCGCAGTCGTCGCACAACCATCTCGTCGTGACTCGTTTTCCGCTTACACACATACCTCTCGCTGCGACTACTGCGCGCGCGCACTCGCCGACGACCGTTGCGTTTTTAAATTTAAAATCCGCGCCACCAAAACGGAAGAGGCCGTCGCGATTGCAATTCTCTCTTCGCCGGTGTTCCCAACCACGTGTGTTGTGCAGTGCGTGTGGTACAAATGCTAGTGCAAGTGATATTGTGCGTGTCTCTCACGGTGATAATGTAACTGCGTTTCTTACACGAAGTCGCCTTCCAACGAAACAAAAAAAGAGACATTCATATGTGGTGCGTTTTACATTACCATCTTCTCTCACTCTCACACTCACACATTGCACTGCAGCGCTGGTGATAGGAAGTAGCAGAACGCACAAAGCCCACGAGAAGAGCGAGCTTGCTTTGCTCGGGGTGCTATAGGGCGCTAGGGGTGCGAAATACGATGGAGATTGAGCGACGCAAGTGAGTAGCATGCGAAACGCAGTCCACAATCCTCCGAAACTACCTTTATCTTTCTCTGTGTAACTTTTGTGTGTGGCGATGTGTGCGTGAATGCGGCCATGTGCTTCAGAAATTAGGAAACCATGTGGGATCCATGTCAAAGCAGAGAAAATGGCGAAGAATTTTGCAGACAAGGCCCGGAAAATGAACAAATCAAGGGGGAAAATCACTTCTTTAACCGATAGTCATGCATGCAATCCATCTTGAAGTCAATGTAGAAGAAGAAAAATGTTGATGCGTTCATTTTGAGCCCATTTTGTTGAAGATTAATGCATTCTTCGTCGATTTTTCTTTTGCTTGCGCCATGTTTTAATTGAGCAAATCTCTTCCTTCAGTGGTTTTGTGAGATTTTTCTTTTGTTTGTTCGTTTTCCATGCGGTCTGGCTACCAGAATTCTTTGTTTAATTGTTCGACTACTAACAATTGTTGAATATTCATCGGGGCAGCAGCGTAGTCACACTCTGTGTTTGTGAAATTTTCAAATTCCTGTTTGGTTTCTTGCGTTTCATTCAAGTTCTCGTCTCCTCTGCACTTCTCGGTCCCCTGTCGGGTGTGTGTGTGTGCGTTTCGACCATTTGCTCGAATCTTTTGTTGAATCACCTCGAGGTCTCCAGACCTAGACTTTTGTTGCCGACCATGTGGTTGTTGTGGCTCGGCTCGGTTCGTTTCTCGTTGTTGTTTCGCTTCGTTTGGGCTCTCCTCGAACTCGAAATTCTCGTGCGTGTCCGCATGCATTGTGTCGCCTGCCTCCTTCTTTCCTCGTCGCTCGCGGTGGTTCCTTCCATGGGTTTCTTCCCAGCGTCAGCGCGCCTCGCTAGACGAGACTCTCCGCCGCGCTTCGGAGGAAACGAACGACCTGAAACGAATCGACCTTGAACTTTTTTTTTTTTTACTTTTTCATTATTGCCGCGTCGCCGCGCGTTCTTTGTTGGCACGGCATGCCACTGCACACACTCACACGTTTTCCCCGAGATTTACCTGCGCGAGCAAACAGTCCGCTGGTTTCTACCTGCGTTTCGAGGCTCTTGTGGCTGCTGTTGCTTGCTCCTAAACATTTCGAAGAAGCACCGAGCTTTCAAAACCAACAACGCTACCTACCCGTACTACCGCGCCGCATAATTTTGAAGTTTTAAAGTTTCGAGCCTCTTTGGAGGCTCTCCGTGGTACGCTGTTTCTGTACCTGATGCGACCAGACGACCCATCTCGGGTGCGGGTCTGTGGAACAGCTGTGATCATGCCATCCATGTGGTGGCAGAAGCAGCTTTCTCACATGTCTAGCACCGGCCTAGTCCTCGACACAACACGATGCAATTGAAAGTGCGCTAATGTGGTTTTAATTCCACTTGTTTTTGTTGTTTGTATTATGCGCACGCCGCGATTACGACCGTATGTACGAGTCTCATTTTCGTTTCCTTTTGTTTTCATGAATTTTACTGACTTTCGTAGTTTTGTCCCGACATTTGTTTAGGAAGTTCGCTTAAGTTGCGAGTTGTACGTTTAATTTGGCGTCGTGATGCATTTGCGCTCGGAATATTCATGCCTTTTGTTTCCACATTGCCGAGTGCGCACTCCCAAGTTACATCTGCTCAGCGCGTTCGGTTTCTCAACGCTCGACGCCGCTCATTGTCGAGAATTCAATGTTGATTACTTAATTTCTGGCGTTTTCTTTGTGCGTTGCGTTCACTGATCGGTCGGCGCACGTCGCTTTGTTCGCACAGTGCGCTTGCTCGAGACTGTAGCTAGCAGTCGCGGGGGCCGTTGTTGCGCGCCGTTTTTTTGTTGTTATTATTCGCTCCTATCGATGTAATAAGCAACATGGTTATAAATAGACATTGTTTCGGTCGGCGCGCCGCGTACATTACTTAACCATCGCGCACACAATTCATTCATGAGCGTGGCGCGAAGAAGCTCTCGGGATCCTTGTGACCCCGTTGCATCGGCATGATTTTTTTTGATCGGCCCTGAATTCGAAGTAAAGTAGGTCCAGACCCCGAATCGCGCGCTTTCCGCGCGCATTCTTTAACTGTTTTCCGTTTTGCAATGCTTCCCGAAATAAAAGTCGAATGTCGTGTCGCATCGCGACCGAGAACACTGCCACAGCGCGCGCTCGCTGTTCGCCCAAGGAGCTAGAAAAATGATTGAGCAACGCGCGCAGCAAAGGCTAAGAATGGACCTTGAACGACTAAAAACTGAATTATGTGCGATTGCAACACGTCCAAGCGTTTCACAAACATAAACACATTTGTAAACGCATTGCTTCTTCACGGCGACAGACACTCTGCTTGATTTGAACCTGAAGTAGTTTTCGTTAGTTTTCATGGAATGGAAGTTAGTTCTAATAGCAGCCATGATTCAATGGCATTTCCTCGTGATTCCGTAACGTATTATTGATTATTCTGACTCAGCTGTACACGCGGCGTGCGCTCGTGTGGGTGCCGCGTGAATGCATGTTATTTATTTTAAGAAACAGCTGATTCCACATACTACGTAACTAAAAACTAGCGACAGGCACACAAAGGGCCCCGTGCATCGACACATGTGCGCCGCCGGCGCTCTCCTGCTACCGGCCCTCGGGATGCGAGGCGGCCCGCGTGACTCACCCGGGGCCAGGCCCCACGCGCCCGACCTCCACCCGTTGGCCTCCCCTCGGAGCGCTCCCTGCTCACCGCTGCTCCGCTTTTCCTTTTCCCTCGCGCGAAGCGGCCATGTTGCTGCTCGAGTATTGAGCGAACGCGCGCGGTGTTACTGTGTGTGCGTGCGTGCATTTCGGCGTGCACTCCGCCGGCCCCGTCCCTTCGACGACGGGTAGCGGCGCGCCGACCGGCGGACGGGTCGCTCTGCGTTCGCACCGCTTTATGGGTACCCTACCGGCGACGAAGGCCCAACCCGACGACTCGCTTCTACCTCTCTGCCTGGCTGCCTGCCGCCAGCCTTCGACTTCGCTCGCTTGGTGCTGGGTTCGGAGTGCGAAATCGATTTTGTTTGCTTTGCCATTCGCTGTACTGAGCAAACCATGTCTAGCCGAATCCTACTCGAAAATCGCTCGTTTCTGGGCCCGGCTCCTCCGCCAAGACAGTAATTTGTCGAGGGAATATTTCCTATTCCTAGAATTCCGTATTTAACTTGAATGCAGAACAATTTCTTCGGCTTTGGCTTACTTCACAGGCCTGTTTTATTATTACGGTTCGTTTCATGCAAATTTTGAACAATATTGAAGTAAAACTCATATAATGTCTGACCGCTCGCGGCTTAGGCTTAGGTTTTGCGACATTTTGTTCGAAGATTTGTGCCCTTGGCCAGGTAGACGGTCATTGAAAGTGCACAGTATGTATTTATGCTTCACCAGCTGTTCACAATTCGAATTCTACCTGCCGTTCACGACGAAATTCGCCGGAATAACGAACAAAGTGCGCTTGGGACAATATACCCAGCACAACAATAATGCGGATTACAAGCACGGTAGTCGATTTTTGGCGAATTGCATTTACCTGTCGCATTACTCGTATTTATGGCGGGGCCCCCCTTCTCTTCGCCGCCGTGCGAACGGTTTTTCGGCGATCAGGCAGGTACTGGTACCCCGGCGGTCGGTCGTTTGCTCGTTATCATCTCGCATCCATTCCGTCGACGCGCTCATTCCGTCCGTTGTGCGCTCGTCGAACGGTCGTCGAGAACGTTGAACACATGGCGTTTCTTCGCCGTTGAACGAACCGCCGGTGTCGGTACGTTAGCGTTTTGTTCGCTCTCGCGTTCGTGTGCGCTTCGCGCGTGGCTGTCTCTGCTGTTGTGTTTGTGTGTGTGTGTGTGTGTATAAACCGCCTGGGTACGGTGCGTTGGCTCGAGCAAAGGGGAACTGGCTTTCCGGGGCGCACCACTTCGATCGCACACATGTCAGTCGTGCACGTCTGCAGCCGTAGCCCAACGAACACTCGGTAATTTCGTGCAGTTCACATTTTTCAAATTTTTCTCCTTGAGGTCGCCCAGCGCCGACATTTTGTTTCCACCTCGAGGGTAGGTGCACCCTGGGTCGTTGCGATTGCTGTTGTTCTCTTGTGTGTGGCTTTGTGTGATGTTACTTTGCGTTGTTGTTCTTGTTGTTGTTATTTTACTTAATTTGGTTTTGTTTGTTTGTTGCAGGTACAAGAGCGGCAGTACAGTGCGTTCGAGCACAGCGAGAAGTAACGGTTGCGCGGGTGGCAGTAGCACCGCGGCGGCCGGTGGCGGTGTCGGCGCGGCCAGCGGCGGCGCACATTATCGCCTACTCGTGGGCGCGCGGCCCTCTTCGTGCGAAGTGCGTCGCGCCTACAAGGCGGCGGTGGTGCCGTGCAAGACGGGGCGGCGACGCGCCCGTGGCATGAGCATGGGCCAGAAGGTCTCCACCGGTGTTAAGGTCGTGAATCGGGACACGGCCGCCCCATACAAACCCGTTATCCCTAGGGAACTAGCACAAGTGAGTGGTCATCATTGTTTTTTTTTTCCTGTTGTTGAATGTGTTTGGGTGTTTACTGACGCATGGCGCTTGCAGGATTTTGCGCGACCCCCCAGACTCGACATGTTGCTGGATATGCCACCAGCGCTACGCGAGACCCAGCTGAAATACAGCTGGAATGCGGACGACCGCTCGTTGAACATCTTCGTCAAGGAGGACGACAAGCTCACCTTCCACCGACACCCCGTCGCGCAAAGCACCGACTGCATCCGCGGAAAAGTCGGCTTCACAAAGGGCCTGCACACGTGGGAAGTGTGCTGGAGCACACGACAGCGTGGCACACATGCTGTCGTCGGTGTTGCCACCGCCGAGGCACCCCTGCACAGTGTTGGCTATCAAAGCCTCGTCGGTAGCACAGATATGTCCTGGGGCTGGGATTTAGGTAAAAGCGAAAAAAGTGCCATTTTTGAATGTATACTAATGTCTGGGACATTTTTAGGTCGCAACAAATTGTACCACGACGCGAAGAATAACGCGGGTGTTACATACCCTGCGCTATTGAAACCGGACGAAACCTTCATCGTGCCGGACAAGTTCCTCGTCGTCTTGGACATGGACGAGGGCACGCTGAGCTTTGTCGTCGATGGGCAATACCTGGGCATTGCATTTCGCGGCCTCAAGGGCAAAAAGCTCTACCCAATCGTGTCGGCCGTATGGGGCCATTGCGAAATCACGATGAAGTACATTGGTGGCCTTGATCGTAAGTACTGCACGCATACGCTACTCTAGAATTCTAAGCGCGCCCGCCGTAACACCGAAAAAATCGAAACGTACACGACCCGCGTGCGAAAAGCGCTAAGGAGTCGACGCACTGACGCTTCACGGTCACTCGCCGCTCGACGCGCGCGCAATTACAGCTCCTTTTCCTTTTGGTCGCTGCTGCTCGTGTTTTTTTGCCGACACATACATGCGCGTTTGTCTCTTTTAATGATCACCGAGCGAATCTCCCACCTTTACCAGTGCGCTGCGGGCTGCCGTGTGTTAAGTCGCGCGTTGTGTTAAAATTCGTTTTGTGCGTTCGCGGCGAAGAACCTTGAGATTCAAGGGCGTCCGGGGCCCGCCACAGTCAGCGAGCGGGCGTCGGTCGACGAAAAACGGCACGAAATCCGAACGTTGTCCATCCACGGGCCATTCAAGATGGGCGCGTCATGCTAGAATGTTCAAAACTTGCGGCGCGTAACTTATAATAATTTATCGCTTTTTCTAACATGTTTTTTGTGTTTTAGCCGAACCATTACCATTGATGGATCTGTGTCGCCGCGTGATCCGACAGCGGCTTGGCAAGCAGCATCTGGACGACAAAGTGACGTCACTGGCTCTGCCTGCCGCCCTGCAGACCTACCTGCTCTACCGCGATCGAAGATAATATCTGTTGCTGCGCCAGTTGCTCTACCAGCTGCAGCACCGTCAGCGGGCCGGCGAGCTGGACTCTGAGGACGACGAGGATGACGACGCGACGGCCGTGGCTGCGGCGATGGCGGAGGAGTAGAGCGCGCGGTGCCGTCTCACCGTTGCCCCTCTCACCCATTTAACTTTTAATGCAAAATTATAAAAGTGTACCCACATACCACGTTCACTCGCAAAGGCATAGCTCCCCGCCGGGAGGGAAGGCGAACGTACGAAGCACACGGATTCGCGTGTGGATGGCTTAAGTCGAGCGGAGCGCGAACGCGTTTATCATGGCTTCCAATTAATTTTTATTTTGAGACACCCTCGCCGCCCCAAATTCGCCCCGAACGCTCTCCGCGCACTGAGAAGCAGCTTTCATTTTTAGTTGCTTGACTCGTGTTTTTATTAAATATTATAGCCTTTCTTTCTTTATTATTTTTTTGTTACTTATTGATAGTTGCTGCTCTTTAGCTGCTTGCATGAAATGATGAAAAGACGACACGCAGACCAAACCGAAAAACGCAATGTAAAGCGAAGCAAAAAGATCTCATAGCATATTTATGTAAATGTATTTGTAGAGAGCTGCGTTTCTACGATTTTAAGAAGCGTTTAAGCGAAAACAGATGTGTAAATATGTGCCGCCGACATTTGGGCGTTGACGGATGTAAATAGTTGGAAAACGAGGCGGACGCGTCACATTGTCTTTGGACGGAGCATGCGCGCGCGTCCGTCGAGTTCCGGTTTTGTTTGCCGTGATCCGCGTCTCGTTTCCGCTCGCAGACAACCATAGTTACAGCAACATTTAAATTTGAGACAATTTCTGCGCGAAAACCAAGCGTACGCAAACATCTGTGGGCAGTCTAGACTTATTTTTGTATATATTATTCTTAATTGCTAAATTTAATTATTGTAGTTAGGTACTTTTTGTTTTATCTCGACGGTCCTTTTTATTGTGCAACTAGAAGAGAAACGAAGGGACTATTGACTACTTGTAATATGTTTAGTTATAAGTGCCAGTTTTACGCCCATTCCCGGAGGTCCTCCTCCTTTCTCCCTCCTTCCCGTCCCCAATGCTCCGGAAAACACACACACCCTTGGAAGCTGCAGGAATTTTATTAATAACATGAAAATGTGCAAGAAAAAGGAGATGAACAATTGTGTGTTTATGTAATTTATAAAAGTAATATAAGTATTCGAATGCTAAAGATTTTGGAAGTGCTGTCGTGTCGCAATCGCAAGCACGCGGACATGAGCGAACAATTGTTAATTATATTTACGAGAAACTTGTACTTCCCGGTCTTTCCGAGCAATGATAATTTCTTTTTGTTTTCTTGTCGGACGCCCCTCTGGCGCGAAAGGGAATTTATTTATTAAGACTAATTTTTCGTTTTTAAATCAAGGAGAAACATAATTAACACGTCTCTCGTAAGTCGTAACGTAACGATTAAAATATATGATCTATAAATATATAAATACTGATGATAAATTAAACAAACCTATGATAAAGTGTAAGTAATAAGTAACAAAAATTGAGAATGAGTAAAATCGCAAAATTTTATTTATTTTTTGATTTTCTCAATATCCTTGAATGGCATATACTTTCAGGAAGGCAAATTTCAATCCTATATCATCTTTGTGGATGTTGGTAATTACATTACAGTTTCATGTATGCAGTCGAGTTTATATTCAATGCTTCGATCCTTCAACATTGAAAATAGTTCTCGTATTCTGCATTACGCGTTTATCAGTGCTGCGTACAAACAAATTTTTGTGTGGCGTTGCAGGAGGTAACACGCGGTGCGTTCAGCGCAACCGGCGCAGTGTCTGTCTAGCCGTCGGTTGGTCTCGTTGTGCATCCTGCACGTTGGTGCTCTTCCTGAGATTTTTATTATTAAAATTATACGTGGAACGTTCGGACAGTGCCAACAAAGTGTACACATATGCCGTCAACATTTCAACCTAACAATTTACAGAAACGTGCTTGTGCGATTCAATACTTCAGGGATGAAGGAATAAAGGAGTAAATAACATCAAGTGAAAACCAGCTTTTATTTAATCAATTCATTGAATGATTAGTTATTATGCTTTTGCCAATAAAGGATAATTTAATCTTATATTCTTGTTCTCATGTATATTTCGTGTTCACTTGCTCGTTTCCAAATTTAGTATTATTAGTAGTCTCGTCTAATACTTATGGTTCTTTATACTTGCCAATACTGTATATCACTTATAGTATTACATATATTGTTTTTTATTTTGAATAGTAATAATAAATAGAAGAAACTAGTTACCTTCGATAAGAGAGCCTATATCTAGCTTATATCTTATTTTTGTTATCTTTATATTTAGGTGCTATAAAGTTTTAGTTAATTTAGCGAATTAAAAATGAATTAAAGTCACAAATCACAGCGCATCTGATTTGTGTTTGTTTTTTAGATGTCAAGGAGTCGAACCGGACCTCGGTGTACAATTGTGAGTATTGAAATTCTTATCATTTTCATATCTGCTTTGTTCACGTAGCCTGCAATATCTTTTCCTTGTGTAGTCGATCGTGCGATGTTGTTCGGTACACACGTGTTTTGTTCACAAGTCGATCTTTGTAACTAGTTTGCTCGTTTCTTATGCTTGTGATTTTAAGTCGGCTTGGTTGAATTAGAATCGATCAGCAAATATAACATTTAGAGTTAGTGCGGCGTGAAGTTAATGAATTATCGCGCGTGGAAGTCAGAATTGTGTGGATTTTACAATGTGCGCACGTTTTGGCCGTCGGCCGTCGGATATCTTACGTCGGCTAAGAAGTCCGTCCCAGTGGTTTGTTTGTCCCTGTGTGGAACATTTTAACCGAGAAAGTGCACGTAGGTCACCTGACATTAACATTCGATGAATTAAACAATTAGTGAAGATGTTTCATGGACGAAATGAATTTATCAGACGTTAAGGAAAAGCGAGGTAACCGTTTGAATAAGAGTAAATACTCTGAGAAAATAATTCAATTTTAACAAATATTTTAAATTCAACATGTACTCATGTGATTGCATGTAATAAAAGTATACTTTTAATGTGCATTTGCAAGTATATTTGTCTATGTTTCCTTTTGTCGTTTCAAAATTAGATTTAAAGACCACATTTGATAGTACACGTATTTGAAATGCGAATAACGGAGTACATAAATGTTGTTGTTTTTTTAAAAAGGTGAGAAAAACAACAACGTTTATACCACCAGAAAACGAATAAAGACCCGATAAAGAGAGCCGTGTGTAGCTCAGGTGGCATGTACATATGCTAGCATGCTAGAGGTTCGTGGATCGAATCTCAGTTGTAGGCTTTATTAAATAATAAGAAATTTACGAAATGTGGGTTGCATACCACAAAATTCAAGATTCAAATGTTAGAAATAGCTTGAAAGCAAAAAGTACAACGAAGCAACAATAAGAATAAGTAGAAGATGGTGGAGGAGCAAATAGAAACTGGTAGCAGCAGGAGAGAGAGAGTATAGGAGAAGTAAGAAGAGAAGAAGAAGAAAGAGAGAAAGAGTATAGGAAGAAAGAGGAATAGGGGTGACAAATTTTTAAATTTTTTGGCACGTGTCGTTATAAGACTCTGCGGTCGATCTCCCCAGAGCGCCTCAGCTTTCGGTCAGTCTCCACTGCTTCGATCGAATCCATTGCTCCCCGGCCCATCCTACAGCTACGATGTCTCTGCGCTTCATCCCAGAAAGTATCAGGCATATCAACAATTTTTACGGTGGGGATCACCCCAGAGAGAGGAACTCCTTATAAGGACATCCTTTTAGAGAGCAATACGTAACTTCG